AGGCTGGGCCAGGGGCGGAGATGCGAGGTAAGGGGATAGGGCCGGGCAGGGAGGGCGCCCTGGCCGGGGAAGGCACGGAGGGCCTGGGTGTGCTGAGAGCGCCGGGACGGCTTCATTCAGGTCCCATCTCTGAACGCTGGTCTGCTGCACCGGCCTGCACACGAGCCCCCGGGATGTGGGGCGGACTCTGTTAAGCGCTGATGGTGTGCACCTGGCTCTGTGCCAACTTCTTTGTGCACAATATCCCATTACTGCTCCGGTGATCCTAAGAAGAAGGTATCATGACTGTCCCCGCGAAGACTCTAAGCACAGAGAGGGTAGGTGATGTGTCCAAGGACTGCACAGCCAGGCGCTAGAAGCCAGAAGGGCCGACTCTGAGCCTATGGTCTGCACGCTTCCAGAAACAAAACAAACCAGAGACAAGCATCAGAGAGAAAGAGTTTCCCAGCTAAGAGTGGAAAATGCCCGCAGAAGAGGGAGGTGTGTGTGAGCTTGCTGGGTGGACGTCAGTAGGCCCGGATGCAGGAAAGGCTCAGGCTCAAAAGTGGGTGGTCCATACAGCATCAGCCAGCCAAAGGCAGACCCAGGCTCTGGCTGCCAGCCCATCTCCCAGCTCCTTACCCCGTGGCCGTTGAGTCAGTCGTCGAGGCAGGCGAATAGTTCTCTCTCTCTCTCTTTTTTTAAGTTTACACCCCAAACAGAAAGAAAAGTTGCTGTTTAAAACCCTCTAAAATGATTTCATGACCCATTAAGGCACGCTGAGTCACAGTCTCTGTGATACCCCCCTGCGGAGAGTTTTGTCAGAGACAACGCTGAGCTCCAGGCTGGGTGGCTGGGTGGTGGGGATGTAAGCAAGCCAGTGACCACCCCAGGAAGTCGGACCGTGGGTGGGCATAGGCCACTCAGTCAGCTGGGGTGGCAGGTTGTGAACTCTCAGAATGGCCACAGCAGTTAAAAAAAAAAAGGTCACACACACAAAAAAAGTCACAGCAGTATTTCTGATCCTACTTGTCTTCCAGAACCTTCCACGCCCATCAAGACGCTCCCCATCTGGACTTTTTCTGCTTGACCTGCTGTGGCTGTTCTGGCCAGTAGAGTGCGGCAGAAGTGATGTTGTGTGACTCCCACAGCTGCATCATAAGCAGGGTTCAGCTCTCTAGGAACTCTCCTATTGGAACCAGGCCACATGAAAGGCCACCTGTGTGTGATCTGGCTGTAGGTCCCTCTAAGGTCTCAGCCAATAGCAAGCCTCAATGGCTAGATGTGAGTGAGCCCGCAGATGCTTCCAGACTCTGCCTTTGAGCTGTCTTGGGACAGGGTGGGGGGGAGGGATGGGGGACAACTGAGGTGAGCTGTCCCTCCTGAGTCAAGGCCAGGTTTGCAGATTCATGAGCAAAACAAAGTTGTCATTGTGTTAAGCCACTATGTAACTGTAATGGTAATTGTTTAATGATAAGTCCCATTTAAGAGACAAATAGATGGTGCCGAATGGGTCTCATCAAAGGTTCCCCAGCTGGTAGTGGACAGACGCTCTGACTCCAGAGGCCCATGTCTATTTTTCTTTAGCTTTTCATTAAGAACATTTTCAAACACACAAAAGTGGAGAGGGTGGTACAGTTAACCCACATGTACTTATCACCATGATTCAACAATTACCAACTCACAGCTGATCTCATTTCTTCTCTGTCCTCAATTGCCTCGCTCTGCTACTGGGTTGTTTTGAAGCAAATCCTGCACACATTATATAATTTCTCTAAAAGAAAGTTCAGTCTTCTTAAACACTCTTGTTACCCTAACATGCAGGCCTTCAGTGAGCTGATGCAGTGGCCTGAGGCAGTTTACCTGGAGGACCAAGTGGGTGTTAGGAAGAGCCAAACATTAGTCAAAAATGGTCGGTTGGTTTGTGTGTGTTAACATTTGCTCTGAGATTTTGCAGGAAACTCAGATGCTATTTATCTGGGTTTCTGAGCTGCACAGCGTGATTCTGAACGAAAATATCTTAAAGCAAAAAGAAAAGCTCTTTTCTAAAAATCCGAACTCAAATTCAATATGAAAAGAACAGGTCATGGTGGGCTTGTCAGGAGCCGAGGGTGTCCGCAGCCAGGGCTCCTTAAACTATTCACCTCTGAGATCCACACTGATGAACCAAGCCAGGCTCTTGGTTTGTGACAAACGAATACCCTGTCTAGGCTGTCCTGAGCTTGCCCTTTTTGCTGAAAGGAATTATTGTTGGTTTTTTTTTTTGTTTTTTTTTTCCTTTTTGTCTCTTTTTTTGTGACCGGCAACGGATCGCAACCCTCAGTGTCGCGCCCATACCGGACCGGGACCGGCAACGGGATCGCAACCCTCGGTGTTGCCCCCGCACCTCGCTCAGCCAGTGAGCGGCTGGTCTGTATGTGGGATCCGAACCCTCGGCGGGAGCGCCGCTGCGCTTCCCAAGCGGCGCACTGTAGCAGTGCGCCACCGGGCCGGCCCCTGAAAGGAATTATTGTTAACGTGTTTATTTAATTCAGGAGTCCCAGCCAAACTTCTAAAGCAAAAAGCCAATCAGCAGGAAGCACCTAGCATATTGGGTTTTTGAAGTAAGTGTTAAATAATACCGATTACCCTTCAGTGCTATCCAGGTGAACTGTCTGGTCTGCTAAGCCTCCTCTGGGTTACTCCTATCCACCACCACCAGCTCTGGGGGAGGAGGTCCCTAGCTAGGTTGCCCAAGCACAGTGACTCCACCAGGCCTCACAACAGCCTTGGGGCCTACTATAAATAAATCACAGCTCTGTGCCAGCTGAGTCAATGCAGTCCTTCCACCTGGCTGCTCCCTTCCAAGAACAACCAGGGATTGGGTGGGCAAACACGGAAGCCATTGGGGATCATCACTGTGGCTCTGAGACCCCCACCACTGTAGGGGTGCCTGGTGCCTGAGCAAGCCCCGCTCATGTGGCGCCTTCCTCCCTGGGCTGGACAGGAAGACCTGAGCCCACCCAAATCCTTCCCTCATGACTCATACTTTGCCTCCAACACATCTCTCTGGAATCTTCATTACAAAACAGATGGGAAGCAAGACCCGCTGCAAGGCCACTTTTTAAAGGATGCTAAAGTTGAGAGCTTATATTAAAAGACAACAAATAGGGCCGAACCCGTGGCGCACTCGGGAGAGTGCAGCTCTGGGAGTGCAGCGCCGCTCCCGCCGCGGGTTCGGATGCTATATAGGACTGGCCAGTGCGCTCACTGGCTGAACGCGGTGCGGTGCGGACGACACTAAGCCAAGGGTTGCGATCCCCTTACCGGTCACGAAAAAGACAAAAAATAAATAAATAAATAAAAATAAAATAAAATAAATAAAAGACAACAAATAGTGTGTAAAGAAAGGCACTTGCTTATGACAAATGCTCAGCCTCGGGGTGACATAAATCATTGTGTGTAGGTAACAGGGCAGTTGCAGGGATTGGAAATTTGCTTTGGGAATCGTAAAATGGTTAGCAGTTTTTAGAGCAAGGTTAGAAAGGGAAATGACAACTCTCCTTTTTCTGCAGTGCCTGTCCGGAAGCCTCTGGCAGAGGTTTTCGGTTCTCATCCATGAGGATAGGAGGCCACAGGGGAGGCCTCTTCAGGCAGAGTTTATTTTTGTGAAGGGGACACTTGTTGCCTTCAAAATTTTGGAGCTAAGTTGCAATATAGTTTTCTTTCCTATTTCTATTTCGTCGTCGTCTTGTGAGGGTTTGTGGAAGCCCAACTGTACCGGGCCTCAGCAGGACAGCAGGAGGGAGCGATCTTCAACGGCGGGCGGGGTGGGGTGAGGTGCAGGGGCAGAGTCTCAGCCCCAATTTGCATTTAATTTGGGCAGACTGGGCCTTCACTCTTTCTGCGCGTCTTTATTGAGCACCTGCTGCGTGCTGTCCAGGCGTTCTCCCCGCCTCCCGGAGCTCGAGTTCCAGCGCGGGAGGCCGGCGGTAAACGAAGCACGCCCCGCAGCGATCCCCTCTAGCGCCCGGGCTGCTTCGGGCGCGCGTTGCCAGGGACGCCCGTCCGCCGTTGCCAGGGCGTGTCGGCGAGCGGGGTCTCGCGAGGATCCCCGAGACCTCGCGCGGGATCTCCGCGGTTGCGGGGACGCCGGGGCTGTCGCGCCGGCGCCATGGTGAGCGGGGGCAGGGGATGGGGGTCCCGTGGCTGCCACGGAGAGGCCCGGCGCTCTGGGTCCTGGGCCCACGGGTGGCCGTGGCCCCGCAAGAGAGAACCAGGGTCGAGGGGTCCCGGGGACCCCGCGCTCACTAGCCGGGCTCGGGCACAAGAGGGCGCCCGGAGGCGCGGGGCGGGGCCGCCCCTTGGAAGTTAAGTTTCAGGAAAAAGCCCCAGAGCGGACTGTGCCTTCGCCGGCGTGTGGGGGCCCGCGGTTGTTCTGTCCCTGATGGAAATGTCGCCGAGAAGCGCGGGTCCGAGAGGGTCGGCGTGGCCGAGGCGGAGGTGGCTGGAAGTTCAGGGTCTGCGGGGTGAGGGCCGCGTCCCCGAGCTCCCGGGTCGGGTGTTTGAGGGGTTCCCTGCCTGGAGGTAGGAAGCCCCGAGTGGCCGTGGAGGGTCCGTGTCCCCGCACTTCCTGAACGGCTTCTCGCAGGTCTTTCCGTGGTGGTTACCAGCGTGGTGACATTTGGCAGTGTGGTGCTTGTTTTCTTTTTTGAGTCCAAATAAGCTCTGCATGCAGACCAAAGAGTGAATGGGTTTCTCGTTCCTTTGAGAATGGGAAAATGTTCTCTTCTAAAAAAGAAGATTTCTCTTTTGTGCTTCTCGAAATGTTGGACAGGTGTGTGCGGTGCAGGTGGGGAGGCTCGGGAAGAGTGAAGAGCTAGCTCCAGGCGCCGCTGCTGGGGGCTCGGGACAGTGCGCGCTGGGGACAGAGGCTCCAGAACAGGTGCTCACGGGCTGAGCGCATCGGAGCCAGCCGAGAAGGGGAACCCTGACTAACCCCATCATCTCTTCTTTCACCGAAGGCGCCCAAAAAGAAAGGGAAGAAGGGCAAAGCTAGAGGCACCCCGGTAGTCGATGGGCTGGCTCCAGAGGACATGAGCCAGGAGCAGGTGAGCAGGGCCCCGTGGCGACCCCGGGGCGGGGCGGGTGCTGCCCGGCTGTCTTTGTGAACCTGACCGCTGTGTTTCTCCATCTCCCTCAGTCTGGACCCTCCAGTTCTGTCCAAGCCAGAATATGCCTCTCCCATGTCCACAATTTCCATCAGCTCCCAAGCTTTCAAAGGCGTGACATATTTTAAAAAATGCACTACAGCCACGTTAAAGAACTGTTTGATAGAGTGATGGGAATTTGGAAGGAAATATTTTTCTGATGTAAAAGCTATTTTTCATTTTCTGTATTACCTTTCAGTCTCATCCTTTTGTGTACTTGATGGTGACGGAGCTGTTATCATAGTACATGCATATAGAGCATTCTCTTTTATTTTATTTAGCATCAAACATAGCAAAAAGCAAGTTTTTAAAGGGAACAGAATTTACTGATTAGTTTTCTCATTATTTTTGATAAAAGTTCCAAGAAGGAGTAACAGTGTCAGGGCTGCCTTTTTCTTGTTGTCTGTGCTTATTTTGGGGAGGGGGTGATGTTTTTATAATTTCTTTGCAAGAATTATTTAAAGCCACTTGTCCATTTTGTAGTAGTCAAGGGCTAGCGAGTATAATTATGTAATTACAATTTCACATAAAAGGCTCCTGAAAACCACAATATGTGTCAAGCATGGGGCATCTTCCGCCTCTGTGTTGACAGACAGTTGTGTGGTAAGCAGCTGACACAGGACCCGAGGGCTCCGTGTCAGCTTGTGCATTAGTAAAACTTACTTTCTTATAGTTTAGATAAATAAATATGAAGGATACTGAAAGAGTCAGGTGAGCTGCAGTTAGAGAGCCGGGCTAGGGCCCTTGCACACTGGTAAAGAGCGGCTTTATTTCACATGTGGTGGGACTGGGTTTGTGTTTTTGAAAGACAGCTGGGGCTGCTGGGTGGAGGACAGGTTGGATATTGCTTTGCTGCCTCACTTGAGCCGATTCTTGTCTCCCTGTTCACTTCCCCTCCCTGTGGAGATAGCCTCACCGTTGCACGTGGCCTGGAGGCACAGACCTGGAAGCCTCCAGGGTCCAGGCAGGAGTGTGGGCACTGGGGTAACCTGGGGGCATGGGGCATTGGACTCCAGTGCTGTTTGTTTTCTGGTTTTTCAAGAGAAGCTAGAAATCTGGATATTTATAAGAAATCTAAATATTGAGTGATGGCAAAATCTAACACTATGTGAGCCAACCAGAGCAGGTAGGAACCCTGGGTTAGTCTGAGTAATGCTAAAGGCCTGGACGTGAAGATGGTTGTCATTTTGCCCAGGCAGTAGTCAGATTTGGGGGTTCTGTGCCTCCTCCCTCTGGGGGACCCGGGACCCGGCCCAGCGCCCCCACCTCAGAGTCCCCCCTCCTGTTCCTCCTGGTTGGCTGTTTGTTGCATCTCTCTCTTGAGGCGAGAAATGTGGTTTCCCACTGGGGTACATGGTTTGGGGAGAGAAAAAACTTTATAGTAAGTGGCCTGGGGCTGTGCCCAAAAGATAACTAATTCTTAAGGTAGGTGAGATCCCAAGAAAGCTGGAAGCCTGTCCTACTTTTTTTTTTTTTAACCTATTTGTTGATTTGCAATTGGCTCTGGAACAAACTGTCTTGAGTGTTAGGAGTCTACTGGTTTTGTATATTTTTTGCTTAACATTATATCTTGAAAGGTGAATGTTTTTCATTTAACATTATTTTGTGGAACGTGTTTACCTGCTGCTATATCATTTTCATATCTGTTTTTTGTGCCATGTAATATGTCTTCTAATTGACATTTTCAACCTTTTTTTTCAACATTTCCCTGTTTAAAATTATCTTAGATAATGTCCTTTTTAATTTTTTTGCTGTTGTAATAATAGTGTGGCTAATATCTTTGGACAACATGCTCTTGTGTTTCTTTTGATTTTCATTTTTGGTGGCTGGCCAGTATGGGGATCTAAACCCATGACTTTGGTATTATAAGGCTGTACTTTAACCAAAAAACTTAACTGGCTAGCCCCTCTTATGTTTCTCTTGAGAAACTTCTTTCGTATAAATTCCCAGGAATGGATGAAAGATGTCATTGTTGTACGATTACTGGCTAAATTCAAGAGAGTGTATCCTGTCCCTGGTGGCCTCCTCCTGTGTATATATATAGTTTTTGGTGGCTGGCTGGTAGGGGATCCGAACCCTTGACCTTGGTGTTATAACACCGTGCTCTAACCAATCTCACATCATATTTTAACTTTTTACTTTAGCTGTTGTTTATTTTCAGTGAGAGTGGCCCTTCCTGTCTCCCTCGCTGTGGGTGGGCCCCTGATGGAGCCTGGCCTGCCCCTGTTGTCCTGGCCAGGTGGAAGAGCATGTCGGTCGCATCCGGGAGGAGCTGGACCGCGAGCGGGAGGAGCGCAACTATTTCCAGCTGGAGCGGGACAAGATCCACACGTTCTGGGAGATCACGCGCAGGCAGCTGGAGGAGAAAAAGGCTGAGCTGCGGAACAAGGACCGGGAGATGGAGGAGGCCGAGGAGAGGCACCAGGTGGAGATCAAGGTGAGTGGGAGGGCTGTGCCCATGCAGCACAGGGGATCTGGGCCTGGCAGTGGGGTGGGTTATAGCCCTCTGTGTTGTGTCCTTTATGCTGGGAACTGCAAGGTGTTTTTTATAAAAGAGGCTGAGGGAGAGGAGCTTCATCCCTTCAGTGGCAGGAGAGGCTCTGCAGGTCCTGAGTGTTTGGAACTCACCTCCTCTCATGGAAGGAGCATGGGCTACGGGGGCAGGCTGGCATGTTTGCAGCCTGGCTCTGCCGCTTAACACTGTGTGAGCTGGGGATGCACCTCACCTTCCAGCCTTGATGTCCTGCTCTGTGCCTTGGGTGAGCAGGCAAGTGCAGGTGTGTGCAAGTGAGCAGGCCGTGCAGGTGTGTGCAAGTGAGCAGGCATGTGCAGGTGAACAGGTGTGTGCAGGTGAGCAGGCATGTGCAGGCGTGTGCAGGTGAGCAGGCACGTATAGGTGAGTAGGCATGTGCAGGTGTGTGCAGGTGCATACAGGTGAGTAGGCACGTGCAGGTGTGTGCAGGTGAGCAGGCGTGTGCAGGTGTGAGCAGGTGAGCAGGTGGTGCTCCCCCTGCCCTTCAGGTATACAAGCAGAAGGTGAAGCACCTGCTGTATGAGCATCAGAACAACCTGACGGAAATGAAAGCTGAGGGCACGGTGGTCATGAAGCTGGCTCAGAAAGAGCACCACACACAGGAGGGCATGCTGCGCAAGGACGTGCGGGCATTGAAGGTGGAGCTAAAGGAGCAGGAGCTGGCCAACGAGGTGGTGGTGAAGAACCTGCAGCTGGTAGGTACGAAGGGTGGCAATAGGGTCAAAGGCTGCTGGGGACAATGAGTCTGGGGCTGCCTAAACGCCCAATTATTCAACAGCAACTGGGATTTCCTATTTTTATAAAAACTCCTGCATTTTTGCAATTCATTGAAATATGAAAGCACGCAGCCAAACCAACCTCATTTTGGGTCCAAATACAGAATTCTGTCTTAAACCCGAGCAACAAATTGACTTCCCCAAAGGAAGATCTGGCTCAGGGTCTTTCTTCATGTGCTGCTGACACCCGACACACAGATACTTTTCCTAGGCAAATGTCAGATGCATTTAGAAAAACACAAACCGACTGTTAAAGTATCCAGGGTGCCTGGGCAGCCGCAGCAGTTCGTTGTTCAAGCTTGTGAGCATCTGATTTACTTTTGAGGCTGGGATTGATCTTTTCTGAGGGAGGCTGGGAATTTCCAGGTGGGGATTGAGTGCCCATTAGGTGTCCGGCCCTGATCTGATCTTTGACAAAGTGCCTGCCCGTGTGGGGCTGGTGGTCGAGAAGGGAAGGAGACAGCACATGGGTAGAAGCAGGATACGTGTGTCAAACACATACTGCATGTCTGGTGGGGATGAGGACTGTAGGGAGAGCAAAGTGGGGTGCTGAGAGTGCAGGATGTTGCCATTCTCAACCAGGGTTTCAGGAATGCCTCATTGGGAAGGTAACATTTATGCAAAGGCTGAAAGGAGGTAGGTGACCAGGCTAGGAGAGACCAGCCCAGGAGAGGGATGGGCCCGTGCCAAGGCCCAGAAGCCAGAGGAGCAAGAGCAGGGGCTGGGGTGAGATGGGTCAGAGCTTGTTGGCCTTGAAAGCCACAGTGGAGTCTGGGGCTTTGACCTTGGGTGAGCCAGGACATCTTCTGAGAATCTGGGCAGAGAAGGGCTGTGTTTGACCTCAGTTTCCAAAAGTTTTTCCTGGCTGCTGAGCTAAGAAGACTTTGTCAACACGTTTATCTCATGCCTGGAAGCCCCAGCACCCACTGAGTCTGGAAAAAAACTCAGTGACTTTGCAGTGAAGCCTGCAGTGCTGAAGTGTGGGACCCTTCAGAATTGTCTCATCTTTCCTGCAAAGCACAGAATGGCTGGTTTCAGGTGAATTCAGTGATACAGGCTGGCTCCTTACCCTGAGGCCTTGGATATGGTATTGTTATCTGATCAGAGTTCTCTTTTGGGTAAAAATACTGCTCTAAAAAATAGTTTAAACTTTTTGTTCAAAAATTTAATATATAATGATTTTTTATTAAAATTATTCTTAAATGCTCCCCTAAGCAACAGTGAAGTAGGTTAGCAGGAGCTACGTAAGCCATCTGGAGAGAACCCACAGCTTTGTGAGACGTGCCTGCTGCTCTCTGCCTGTGGGAAGGCAGGTGCGGAGGCAGCGTGCTCAGTGCTCTGTCTCACGCCTGGAGCTGCCTTCAGCTGAGGGAAGTATGCGATGACCCGAGGTTGGCAACACCGTGTTGTTCTGGTCATGTTTCGTGAATGCACAGGCCTGGGGAACCTAGCAGTGGTGGCAGCAGCAGCAGTATAGGCTTTATTGAGCTGGATTTTTTAAGGGAGTGAGGGGCAGGGTCAGCCTAAAAGGAGTGGACTTCTCTCTGTGTGGCCGTCCTGTAACTGCCTTCTCTCATCTCTGCAGAAACACACAGAGGAGATCACCAAGATGCGGAATGACTTTGAGAGGCAAGTCCAAGGTCAGTTTCTCCCATGCAGATTGTGTAGGGTGTTGCCAGAGACCCCTGTGATTAGAAAGTAATTTACTTCCAGAGCTTGTTATCTCAGGGCACATGAGCCAGATTGAACAGTCCAGGCATGCAAAGAGAGAATGTGGGAGTATCCACAGCCAGTGGACCCACTCAGAATCCCAGAACAGCTTATTTCCATGAAAGTTTGGGCGGCTGTGATGACCACACACTTCTCCACTCCTGCTAAAATTGGCACTTAGCAGCAGGCAGTAGTCAGTCTTGTGGGCAGCTGTCTTAGAATAGTCTTCACCACGGCTCCTGGCCTGAGAAGGCTCCAATTCCAGAAGTCTGGTTTACTAATAAAGCCACTCAGGCCATGGCTGATCCCTCTGGGATCAGCAATGTTCAACTGTTGGAGCCCCAGTGCAGGGATCGATTAGCAGTGCCTGCCTCAGGCAGAGGAAGGACTATGGTGGCTTGTGCTGAATTTGCCACTTGTGAGCATCAGCAGGAGCAGCTCCACCCAGACCCACCCTGCTGTCCTAGGGCAGAGCGTGTTTATGCAGCTTTGTTCTGACCGTGGGGGTGCTCCTGGGCCCTGTGTCAGGCCCCGTCTGTTCTCGTAGCCATAGGGGCACCCGCTCTGCCTCTGCTAAGCTGCTGCACGTGCTGCTACCTTTCAGAAATCGAGGCCAAATATGACAAGAAGGTGAAGCTGCTGAGAGAGGAGCTCGACCTGCGGAGAAAGACTGAGATCCACGAGGTGGAGGAGAGGAAAAACGGGCAGATCCACGTGCTGATGCAGCGCCACGAGGCGGCCTTCACTGACATCAAGAACTACTACAACGACATCACCCTCAACAACCTGGCCCTTATCAACTCCCTCAAGGTACCACACGGGGCAGCTGGAGGTGCCATCTGTCCTGACTGCGGGGTCCAGGCCCCAGCTCACAAGCCTCTCAGACCCAACACCCCTTTTGTAAAATATTCAATGATGTCCCTCTATTGTCCTTAGTTGAAAGTCATAAATAACCTGTCTACACCTATAATTGAAAACAATCAGGATTTTTCACCAACTGTGGTATGGAGGGGAAGTAATAAAGTGTGTTCTGATATGTAAAAGCTCAGGTGGAGCTGCCGTAGGTGCCGTGACATGGCCACAGTGTGGCCAGAGTGCTGGCAGTGACAGGATTCCCACAGTGGAGAGCGGACTGGGGAGCCCTGAACAAAGTGAACCCTCTCAATTTGCATGGAAGCTGCATTCCTACGACATTCAGACACACACACCCCACTGTGTGCAGGTGCTCTGCTTATATGTAAAGCAGGTCGAGTGTCCAGCTCATGAGTCTGGCAGGCCCTTCTGTGGGCAGGACCTGCCCGCCCAGCGTCCCCGTGCCTGCACTTGTGCCGACAGGAGCAGATAGAGGACATGCGCAAGAAGGAGGACCGCCTAGAGAGGGAGATGGCAGAGGTGGCCACGCACAACAAGCGCCTGGCAGACCCTTTGCAGAAGGCTCGGGATGAGATGAACGAGTTGCAGAAGCAGCTCGGGAACTACGAGAGGGACAAGCAGATCCTGGTTGTGAGTTACCTGCTGAGTTCATCTCCCCCATGGCATGTGTGCTCCTGGGCCCGGGAGAGAAGGAACATTGGGAGGGAGAGATGGGGAGGCTGAACTCTCCCCTTTCTCTGCCTGGTGTTCTCCCGGGGGTGTAGGGCAGTGGGTGTCCTGGGAGCCAAGGCCTGACCCTGTGCCGTGTCCCACTGGCTGCCCTGGTGGGGCTGAGCTGCTTGCATCTTTGAGCCACCAGTTCTTTCTGGCAATCGATCCCAAGAGCCTGTGTTAGTTACATGGACACCTGGACACCTGTGAATCCTGAACACTTTCCTTCCCACTCCTGTCTTCTCTCCAGTGCACAAAGGCACGTTTAAAAGTCACTGAGAAAGAGCTGAGAGACCTGCAGTGGGAGCACGAAGTGCTGGAGCAGCGGTTCGTCAAGGTGAGCAGGGGCTGCTGGCCCTCCGCCAGGACCCCCACCAGTGGGAGGGGGGCTGCCCTCAGGGCCCTGGCCCCTGTGACTGGCTCCAGGAGGTGCGGATCCTTGGCCAGGGTTTTGGGTTCAGAGCTGGAGGTCCTGCTGCCTGCTCTTCCCTCCACGCAGTGTCTGTGAAGCAGAAACTCGTGGCTGTTCTGTAGAACCCTGGGGGTCTTGGGGGCAGTGGACCACACCCACCTCTGTCCCCTCGGGAGCTCCCCTCTCGGACACGTGGTGGTGGCTTGGCCCCTTGCAGCAACTATCTTTTTATCTGTCTATGTATGTTCAGTACTGACCCATTTATTACATGTTCATTGCCAGAAGCTGTGGATCCTCAGTGTGTAAGTAAAGGTGGGTCCCCTGCGACTTGGTGCTGGTCCTCACAGGTGGGGACAGTTCCATGAACCTCCTTCCAGACTCTTCCTGCATGCTGTAGTGTAGATGTGACTTTGCTTCACAAAAACAGGATCACGTCATAAACAGTGCATTTGTCTGTTTCTGTTGCTTATAACTCGGTAATTTATAAGAAAACGAAACTTATTGCTTACAGTTTCTGAAGCTGGGAAGTCCAAAGTCCATCTGGTGGTGGAGAGAATGACCCAGGGGTCCCACACTGCAAGATGGTGGAAGCAGAGGGAGCAGAGAGATTCTCCTTTTAAAGTCCTCAGAACCACACGCCTGGCCACCATTTTTAATCTATTCACTGTTGCATGGTCCTACCAATCCAATCACCTCCTCAAAGCCCCACCTTTCAACGACCATAGTAGGATTTCCTCTTAACAGTCTCAGTGGGGGCCAAGTTTCTAACATGTAAAACTTGGGGGACACAATTCAAGCTTACGTGAGTTTTGGGGGACATAATTCAATCCAGTACACACAGCTTGCTTTTTAATTTCACAGCATATCCATGTTGCACATATAAAGTGGCCTCGTTCTTTTTACCAGCCAGGTGGTGCCATTACATGAGTGTCAACCATTTGTTGAGCTAGTTCCCCTTGATGCACATCTCTCTGTTTCCAGTCCTTTGCTGCGACAATTATCCTTTCAATTTCCTCTTTGTGCAATGCTGTGAGGTAACTTCTAGGAAAGTCAGTTCCTGGCTGTGGAATCGCTGGGTTGGAGGGCTCTGCCCCGAGGGCTGTCCTGAGTTACATACACTCCTGCCACTGTGCCTCAGGGACCTCTTCCCCCTCCTTCACCTGCACTAGATCTGAGGAATGTAAACCTTTGCTGATATGGCCAGGTAGAAAATACCTCCTTTAATGTGCATTTCTGAGATGGGATGCTTGGTCCTGCCTCCCTCTGTGTGGTTTCAGAGGTCTGGCTTAGGGCCAGTGCCTGCACCATGGCGCCCTGGGCTTGGTCTGTGGTGTGCGTGGCCAGAGCACCCTGTGAGCTGTGGCTGTGCGTGCCATTTTTCTTTTCTCGCCTAATTGAAATTCGTGCATGTGGACTATAGTAATGGGACTGGCCCCACCTCCCCAGAGCAGGCTCCTCAGGAAAATCCCACTGATGTGTCAGATTCACCTTCAGAGAGGTTGAGTGTCCTGCAGGGTGTGAATCGCTGGGAGCCCGCAGGGTAGCCAGTGAGACCTCGAGTCTGTGTTAGACAAGGACCTACTTCTTCCTTCCTGTGGGTTTCGAGGCACGGGGAGCAGAGATGTGCCTGGATTGCTGCTGTGGTCTCTGCCACATTTTCTTCATTTGTGGTTCATGATACGTGCCAATCAGTGTCTCTTCTTAGAGAACCAAGAGCTCAAATTTGTCAAAATTTAGAGACGAAGGACACTTAAAATCTACGTGTCTGTTGACGGAGAATTGGACTTAAGAAAATCTATGGATTCTGTACAGTACTTTGAAAGGAGTTTAACCATGTATGTGCTACCCTGCACGGTGTACCTGGACATGCTGCTGTATGAAAAAAGCTGCCAGGGCCGGCCCGTGGCTCACTCGGTAGAGTGCAGTGCTGATAACACCAAGGCCCCGGGTTCGGATCCCACATAGGGATGGCCGGTTCGCTCACTGGCTGAGCGTGGTGCTGACAACACCAAGTCAAGGGTTAAGATCCCCTTACCGGTCATCTTTTAAAAAAAAAAAAAAAGAAAGAAAAAAGCTGCCATGTTTTAGCATGATCCTCTTTCCTTCCTAACAGTAATAAATACTTCTACATGTGTAGAGAACATTCTGGAAGGAGTCACTCCAAATGTTCTCAGTGATGGCCTCTGGGGTGTGGGTTTAAGGGAATATTTTGCTTTTTACTTTTTACCCTTCTACAAAGTTTTGAGTTTTTACAATGCATGGTTAACAAGGAGAAGAGTTAGGAGATGAAAAGTACAGTTTTGCTCACTGACAGGCAGCAGGCTCTGAGGCCATGCTCCAGATCTGTGTTTGTGGGACCCATCAACAGCTCGGGGGAGTCTGGGATCTGGGGCTGGCTGAGGGAGCGGATCCTCTAAGGGGCTCCCACCCCACAAACTTTGTGGGCTGGCACGAGGATGCCCTGGTTCTCACGTGGTCTATCCTGAGCCCACAGCCCTAAATTGGGGCAAGGCTGGCCCTGACCCACCCAGGGAGCTGCTTTCAGGGTGGAACTTCTCCAGTTGCTGCTTCCTGAGACCCCTTCCTGAGGGGAGGGCTTGTGCCAATGATCTCTTGCCTGCACTGTGTGGACAGCTGCACACCCTTAGTTCTGTGCACAGAGGTGGTGCCACAGTGTGGATGGCGCACAGACCCACGTGCCCATGGGTACCATGCTAGTGAAAGGTGACCCTTCCACAGAAGCAGCGTGTTCCAGGCAGGGGCGGAGGTGGGAAGTGGCTGCTCCCCAGGGAGATGTCCCCAGGTGTGGGTCCTTGTCACCCAGCCTGTTGTGTCCCCTCAGGTGCAGCAGGAGCGGGACAAGCTCTATGGCAAGTTCACTGCAGCCATCCAGGAGGTGCAGCAGAAGACGGGCTTCAGGAACCTAGTGCTGGAGCGCAAGCTGCAGGCACTGAGCGCTGCTGTGGAGAAAAGGGAGGTGCAATTCAACGAGGTGCTCGCCGCCTCCAACCTGGACCCCTCGGCCCTGACGCTCGTGTCCCGCAAGATTGAGGTAGGCCCCAGACAGGCTCCTGCCCCCGTGGAGGCCTGCCTTTGTTCTGCACTGTGCCTCTGCGATGGGCACAGAGAGCCCTCCATCAGCTGCAGGGGGGGGGGCTGCAGGCAGGCCCGTCTGCACCAACAGTTTCCTCTCATCAGTTGTGCTTGAATCTTGGGTCTTCATGGATTCTCCTTAACTTCATGGTGCCCGACCAGCTCCGAGCCTCTGCCTGTGCCGTCCTCAAGACATGAGGATGGGCGCGAGCGCAGAAGAGCCATCAGGAATCCCCATGGGCCTCAGCTCCATGGTCGTTTGATGGCAGACTCAGACGTCTCCTGATCACAGCTGGGGCACGGTGACAGTACCCCAGGGACAGAGGTAGCCCTAGCAGGCCACCAAGACATGCTGGTTCAGGATGGGGAACGTGTAGGGATGTGGCTGGGGGTGAGGTCCTAACTCTTTGCAGCCTTTGTGGGTACTGGGCGGGGGGCCGGCCTAACCTAGCGTTTTCAGCCTTTGTGGGTGGCGGGGTGTGAGGTCTGAGCAGAGCCCAGAATATTCCCTTGTTCATGTGTTCTCAGCTGGTTATGGTGCTGCCCTGCTAGGACTGTCCTGGGCATGAGGGATGGCAGTCAGTCAGATAAAGCCTTGGCCCCCAGGGCCAACTGGGTAGACAGTCAGCTACAGATCTGGGAGGCTGGAGGCTCCTGACAGAGCCCCACAGGACCTTTCCTGCTGCTTGTCTCTGCTCCCTGGACCTGGTTGAAGGGCACAGGAGGAACAGGACCCAGGTGAGGGCACCTGTGGATGACACTGGAGCCCTGGCCAGCTGGGGTGGCCGGTGGCTGCCAGGCCCATGGCTGGTCTTCAGCAGTCCAGGTGCAGCTCCCTGGCCCCCTCCTCGCCGCCCCCCACCCCAGCAGAGGCAGACACAGGTGCATGCACACCAGCGCACTGCTGGTGGGAAACGGCTGCTTCCAGAGCCTCCAACAGGCCCAGTGAGGGGAGGTGGCTCGTCTAGGGCGAGATCCTCACAGGGCGGGAGGCACCTGTCTCTGCTGTTTGTAGGGGCTCATCCTTTAGAGGAACGGATGTCTGGGCCCTAGGCATGAGGCTTCTTCACGGTCTATGGGTGTTCTTTATCCTGAGAAGTATCACAGGCAGCACTTTTTTTTTTTTGTGGTTGGCCAGTAAGGGGATCCAAACCCTTGACCTTGGTTATAATACCATGCTCTAACCAACTGAGCTCACCAACCATCCCCTCAGGCAGCGTTTTCAAAGTGATTCGTCAATGCACACAGTTCAGCTGAACATAAATCCCATCTGCTCACTGCAGACTCCAGGCGCAGGAGACTGCATTAGGTCACCTGATCTCCACTCAGGACACTCCCACCTGGCTGGCCCCTAGCCCCCACCCTGAGGCCTGCAGCATTAGGGCCCTTTGAGCCCCTCGCTGACCTACCCTGGGGACACCCAGGTTTGGGGGGGATTCTGAAAGGCCTGTCAGCTGCTACAGAAGGTTCTGGGCAGAGAGGACTGGATCAGAGAGAACCGCTCTGCCACAGATGGGAACACAGGGCCACAGGGGGCAGGAAGCAGCTGGTGCAGAGCCAAGCATTGCAGAGCTGCTGGGAGGGTCTGAGGGGACGATAGGCCCACATTTCTGGCCCAGGGGACCAGGTGTTCTCTCACAGAGGCCCTCGTGGGGGAGTAGGGATGGGCTGGCTCTTGGGTGTGGGGTCGTGCAGCCATGGGGTGGGGAAGTTGCTGGGCTTGGAGGGGCACCTTTGTCCCCAGGGTAGGGCCCATCGCGTGAGCACAGGCAGTGGGGGAGGGAGGAAGGGGGAGTGAGGTCCTGCTGTCTGAAAATGGAGGGCACCTTCCCCCCTCTTTTGGGAAGGATGGCCAGCTCGATCTAGACGAGTTCCCTGTGCTGCTGGGGCCGTGGTGAGGGTGATAAAAAACAGTGGTAGCCCACGATAGCCACCACAGCAGCGTCCACACGCCACGGTGCAGTGGCGCTCTGTGTAGTTCAGCTCCCGCCTTTCCTGGTCCTTGCCACCCCAATTTGTGGGTGAGGAACATCCTAGGGCAGTGATGGATGCCTCCGCAGGTACACTTCGCCCAGGCGGGGCAGGTGGGGGTTTGAGAGGCTTCTCTGGACCGCGGTCAGTTGGCTCCAAAGCCAGGCCAGGCCCAGCTCCCAGTCTGGCACCTGCAGCCCCCAGGAGGGAGCCCTTGCAGGCTTGCCGTGTGGCGAGATAAGGCCCACGACATCTGGGTGGCCCAAAACAGGCGATGTTTTAAAAGTTACACAAGTTGCTTGCTTTCTGCTTAAAGAAGATAGGATGATAAATTCACATGATTCAAGAGAGTTAGTGTGAACGGTACTTGGTGACCAGTCCCACCGTGTGAAGACACTGCTGCCTTCCCTTCTAGCCACTCCGTTCCTCACGGGTTGGGACAGTTTGTTCATGGAGATGCAGGCAGTGCAGATAGTGTTCCTGCCTTTCTGTCTCTACCTTGGAGGCCTTTTCCTGCTGACTCGCCTGGGTGGGCGTACACATTGATCGAGCCAGGCCCTTACTGCCTGGACTTCAGAGGTCCCCTGCTGGCCCACCCATCTGGTGAAAGATGAGTCTCAAGCTCGTGTCTGCCCCTCTCTCCTCAGGATGTTCTGGAATCAAAGAACACCACCATCAAGGACCTGCAGTATGAGCTGGCCCGGGTCTGCAAGGTACGGCCCTGCCTCCTGCTCCTCCCTCAGCACCCAAATGCAGCTGGTCTCTTTGGAGGCAGCATTGCTGTCCCTGGTGGCATTGCTCACCGGGCTTGGGATCAGGCACAGCTCTGGTGCTATCCTGCTGTCCCTAACAGGCCTACTCTGCACACACTGAGGCAGCTTGTCCCTTGGCTCACCCCTCAGCACTGACCTGGCCTCTTGGCAATTGGAGGGGCCTCTTCCACCCTCCCAGATTCATTTCGATGACAGTGACAGGTCTAATCTTTTACCACTTCTTTGTGAATCTCATGAAAGTCACATGCACTTTCCATGCTGAAAATGCACATCAGCACAGACTCCTTCTGCAATTTTGGGGGTGGGGGTCAGATCACTGGTGCCAGGAGCCCACTGTCTCATGTCCTATGCACCTAAGAGATGCCTGGGCTCTGCAGCCAGATGGTGAGGCTGAGCCAGCTGCTGTCTGAGCTTTGCCCTCTGACTGCAGAGGGACTTAACAAGAGCAGGCGCCCCATGTGTATGACTCAGACTTTGTATTCTGGTTCTGTTGTTTTGAGCCATGGCCAGATGTTACCATCTTCCTGGTTTTTAAGAATCCCAGGACGAGGGCGGGGCCTTCCTCTGTCCTCCCCAGACCACACTCAGGCCCCGCTCTGCCCATCCTGACCCTTCCCTCCCCTCCCCTTTCAGGTGCATATACTGGTATGTGTAAAATTAGGGCCACCTACTAGTATGTGCAAGTCCTGGAGGGAATGTCCCTGACTCCTGTGTGGTTCTCAGGATGCCTTAGCCTCAGGGAGAGGTGGGAACCATGGCCCAGCCCCAGCTCTCTCTGGAGTACAGCCTGATTTGCCTTCTAACTTCGTCCCAAGCCCTGGGCTCCTCTCTCGTTGATGTGAGAACCAAGCTTCCGGGCATTTGCTCTGAATCAGGCCAGCTTCACGTCATCAAACCTGCCCAATCACCCAGTCAAATGTGCCCTTTTTTTTTTTTTAAAAGATGACCGGTAAGGGGATCTCAACCCTTGGCTTGGTGTTGTCAGCACCACCCTCAGCTAGTGAGCAAACCGGCCATCCCTATATAGGATCCGAACCCGTGGCCTTGGTGTTATCAGCACCGCACTCTACCGAGTGAGCCACGGGCCGGCCTCAAATGTGCCCTTTTTATTTTTATTTTATTATTATTATTTTTTTTGTCTTTTTGTCTTTTTCCGTGTCCGGCAACGGATCGCAACCCTCAGTGTTGCCCCCGTACCGGGCCGGGGACCGGCAACGGGATTGCAACCCTCGGTGTTGCTCCCGTGCCTCGCTCAGCCAGTGAGCGGGAACCGGTCTGTATGTGGGATCCGAACCCTCGGGCGGGAGCGCCGCCGCGCTTCCCAAGCGGCGCACTTATCCAGTGCGCCACCGGGCTGGCCCCAAATGTGCCCTTTTTAAGGCATGCTTTTTCCAGAGGGGGAGCAGATACTCCAGGCATGGTGGCTGGGAAGTTCCGCCCCAGCACCATTGCCAGGCTGCATCTCTCCTGGGTGTGTGGGGGCAATCTGGGCAGCCCCCAGGTAAAGATGCAGCATTAGGGAGTTGGAGGGGGATGGTGGTCGACAAAGGCAGGGAGGGGACGTTGGGAAACATCCAGTGAGGATCCTGGAGTCCACTCAGTCCACAGTGCTGCTCTGGGCCCTGTCCTCTGCCTCAGTCTCCTCATTTGTGAGGTAGGAACAATGACAGCATCTCCCCATCATGGGTTTGAGTTAACATCTATGAAGGTATTTGCTGCTGGTCTGGCAGAGTGAAGCCCTGGTCAGTGCTGGCCTGTTCTCTTACACCTCCCCTCCCTGCCCCTGCATGGGGCTGAACATGGCTCTGGGTGGGCCTGAGCATGTTGGCCATGGTGCCCAAGCTTAGGCGGGTCCTTCTTTCCTGACACTGTTTGTCCCCACAGGCCCACAATGACCTGCTACGCACATATGAGGCGAAGCTGCTGGCCTTTGGCATCCCGCTGGACAACGTGGGCTTCAAGCCTCTGGAGACAGCTGTGACTGGGCAGACGTTGGGCCAGGGCCCTGCAGGACTTGTGGGCACCCCAACGTAGCTGCCCAGCCCAGGGGCCTTGGCCCACAGAGCTGGCTGGGGTCACTCTCCAGATGACACCCCCTTTCACCTAGGACAGTAAGTTTTTGTTTTTTACCTTTTTTTTTGTTTGTTTTTTGTCTTTTTCCATGTCCGGCAACGGATCGCAACCCTCAGTGTCGCACCCGTACCGGACCGGGACCGGCAACGGGATCACAACCCTCGGTGTTGCTCCCGCACCTCGCTCAGCCAATGAGCGGGAACCGGTCTGTATGTGGGATCCGAACCCTCGGCGGGAGCACCACCACGCTCCCAAGCGGCACACTGTAGCAGTGCGCCACCGGGCCAGCCCAAGTTTTTGTTTTTTAGATGTTTTCGTCAGCAAATGAAGGTTTTCCACATTTCCTCAGTGTCCTCCCGCCTGGGTCTGTGGAGGAGACCCTCCTGCAGGGCGTCTGCCCACACCCTTCTGTGGGGGCATATCCAATGTGTGCCCACGTGGACCACTCCGAGCCCTGCAGCCGGGGCAGGGCCAGCGGAACTCTGCCTGCCCACACGCCACTCTCCTCCCAGCAAATGAAACAGCTTTGCAGATGCCCACCCTGACTTTATTAGTACCCGAGTACAGCTGCCCACTGGGAAACTCCCAGGGCCAGAACCTCCCCCAGGAAGTGGGTGACCCCAGAGGGTGGCTCAGCCAGAGAAAAGGAGGAGGCAGGTGTCCTCACGGCCCAGGCCCGGCTCTAGCTCCCCCGGTAGGTGGTATAGGACCAGGGGCTGAGCAGCAAAGGCACGTGGAACTTCTGGGTCTCATTTGTGATGGTGAAAACAACCTGAGAAGCAGAGAAGGCCCAAGAAGACAGTGAGGGGCCCTCAGCATGAGCTGCCTGGGCCCTCCTTTGCCACTGAGAAGTCAGCAGCCCTTCCAGGGTCAGCTGGAGCCCAATGGTGGAGGACGGGACAAAACCTGAGGGCTGAGGATGGGGCAAATCCTCCCCAGGAGACAGTGATCAGCTCAGAGGGAGGCCAAAGCCCCTTGGCCTGTAGGTATGTCCAGAACCTGGAAGAGCCCAGGTGCTCTGATGGTGGCCCCAGGTGAAGGGGAGGCAGGCTAGACCCAGTTAGCTGGAGTCTCGACTCAGATGAAAACCTGTCCACAAAGGGGAGCTGAGTCACCCTCAGCGTGGACTCCCCCAAAGCCTAACCCAGGGGGAGGTCAAGGACGGGCGTGTCGTCAAAAGTTTTAATGATGCCTCAGGTACCTGGGAGAGGCAGGAGGGGCAGGCCCAGTCTGCTCACTGCCCAGGTGAAGCCTGGCATGCAGGTCACAGCAAGTCACGGGCCTCCACACCCCAAGCCCCACCTGCAGCCCTCACCTCCACGTATGGGTAGAAGCTCTCCTGCCCCTGCTTCTTCCAGTAGCCCTCGGTGTCAAAGGAGAGCTTGTAGGTGCCTGCCCTCATCTGACCTGGCATTAGGAGCCCAGGGCAGCGGCCATCTGGGTCTGTGTAGCTGAGAGAAGAGAGGATGAGGTAGCAGAGAGGGGACAAAGAGCTGCCTGTGCCCTGACTCTCCTAGGCCTGCACCCCTGGCAGGCCTCAGACATGCCCCATAGCCTGATGGTGGACCGGGGTGAGAAGACACAGGGACAATTTCTAGGGCCTGTGGTTCTGGGGCAGCCCAGGGACACCACTGCACTGTCTCTTTAGGAGACAAGAGTGCAGAGAGGCTAAAAGAGAAAAAACCTCCCACAGTCTGCCCCATGAGCAATAATCACTTCATACTTGGCATATATTTTTCTAGATTTCATCTATGTGTAAGGACGTTTATAAACGTTTTTTAAAAAACATAAAATGAAAACTACTCGTGTGTTTTATAACCTGCATTTTTTTTTTCCTTTTTGTCTTTTTTACTGACCAGTAACGGGATCGCAACCCTCAGTGTCACGCCCGTACCGGGGACCGGCAACGGGATCACAACCCTCGGTGTTGCGCCCGCACCGCGCTCAGCCAGTGAGCGGGAACCGGTCTCCACATGGGATCCGAACCCTCAGCGCTCTCAAGCGGCGCACTCTCCAGTGCGCCACCGGGCCGGCCCCTATAACCTGCATTTTTCATTTACTATATTGTGCGTGACTTTCTGGGTCAGTAGCTGGACCTAAACCCACATCCACGTGGCAGCCTATTTCCACCTGCACGGAGTGTCCACACTGATAAGCTGACCCTGGTCCAGGGTTCTGCAGGCCTGTGGCTTTGCTTTCACCTCAGAAAAAACCTGATGCTGTTCCGACCAGCTGTACTTTAAAGTGTGTGCTTCTACCTCAGTGATCAGAAAGAGGTAGTGTTGTGTGTGTCTCTATGACCTTCCATAAGACTCCAGGCTGCTCAGATAGGGCCTGTACCCCCGCGCCCCCCCCCCCAGCCTCTGCGAAGAGCTGAATGCAGGGAAAGAGCTACACCCTCAGACTCTGAGCCTTTGGGGCCCAGTCCTTCACCCCACCTCCCCAGACTTCCAGAGAACCAGCCTTCTTCAAGATGAAGGGGCCGGGGAATGCACTCATGGGGCTGACCCAGCAGAGCCTGTAACTGGGGTAGGGGCACAGTGCCCAGGGGCCTGGCTTGGAATCCCAGCTGTTACCTTGTCTCTTGCTGCCTCAGTCTCCCTGTCTATAAAAGGGTGTATGGGGGGGCCGGCCCTGTGGCTCACTTGGGAGAGTGTGGCACTGGTAGCGCTGAGTCCACGGGTTCGGATCCTATATAGGGATGGCCAGTGCACTCGCTGGCTGAGCGTGGTGCAGGCAAAACCAAGCCAAGGGTTGTGATCCCCTTACCGGTCAAAAAAAAAAAAAGGGTGTATGGAGAATAAAAGAAAGTGATTAGCCTCCCGCCTAGCACAAGGTCACCTACTAGTCAGGGTGACAGTGAAGCCTTTAGATTCCACATCGGGCCTTGACTAAACCAGCCCTCCCGGACTGCTGGGCACAGCGTCAAGGAGAGACAGAAACTCGCTGCCACCCAGCCGACCTCTCACGGGCGTGAGGCTGGAGGGCAGGAGGGCGGAGGCTCGCGCTGACCCGGCACCTCACTGAACTGCGCTCACTGGACAAAACGGCGGGAGGGGCCGTAGCGTGAACCAGGCCGTGGCCCCGAGGCCGAGAGGTCAGCCGTGCCTGCCGTCCACGTGCCTTGGCTGTCTGGGACCCGTCCCAGGGTGGACTCAGGAAGGGCCCTGAGCTGGGGTAGGTGCTCTGGGCTCCGTCCTGCCCAGGGTCGGCTCCTACCTTTTCCTCAGCTCGGTCCAGTGCTGGCCGTGGTCCTCCAGCCTGGACAAACGGAGGCAGAGGCCCCGGGCCGGGAGCCCCGAGGCGGTGTCCAGCACGTGTGTGGTCAGCGGGCTGCCGGCAGGTTCCATGACACCGCCCTGGGCCGGGATAGAGATGAACTCCCGGGGGCCTGTGCCCACGCGGCCCCAGCCTGGCTCCACGTCACCGGGGGGGAGTGAGCAGCCCCGGGATGGGTCCTCTCATCTCCCCAAGCTACCCGGGGACCGGCTCGTGTCAGGCAGACGGGACTCGCCGAGTCACCACGACGGGCGCCCGGTGCACAGTTCTGACCCGCGCCCTTCTCCCCACGCACCGTTCCACGGGCGTGTCCTGTGCTCCCAGCACCAAGGTCTCTCTCCGTTCCTGGCCACCCCCCGCCGACGACGGGACAGGGCCCCGCGGGCCCGGCCTGCCCCTCACCTCCGGGGAGCCCATCCCGCCGGCCGCGGCTCCCCGGCGCCCAACCGGGTTCCCCCGTGAGTCCCAACCCACAGTAGCCGTTTTCGGTCTTCCCAGGAGGCCCCAGGGGGACGCTGACCAGGGGTGGGCTGCGGCGGGCAACTTGGGCAACACACACACCTGCATGGGCGCGGAGTCTCCTC